GGGGCAGGTGGTGACGCCGCACCAGGCGGTCGAAGTGCATGGCCACCTCGTTGTAGTCCCCTGCCCGCGCCATGACGGCCTCGCGCTGCTCCAGCAGCATGGCCAGGCAGAGGAACAGCAGGAAGGGGTTCCCCTGCCCCAGCTCCTCCGGCGGTGGCAGCGGCGCCCCGTCATCCTCCAGACCCACCTCCTCCTCCGAGGATGAGGAGGAGGATGATGAGGAGGAGGAGGAAGAGGAGCACGAGTCCTCCCAGGCCCAACCGCCCCCCCAGGGGTCCTCGGCGGTGTTAGCAGCTTCCCTGCCCGCGCTGGGGTCATCACATACCTCTTGGGGGTCTTCACCAACCTCTCGGGGGGAGTTGGGGGCGTTGCCAACCTTTTTGAGGGTGTCACCAACCTCTTTGGGGACCTCGGGGTCTTTGCCGATCTCTTTGGGATCTTTGCCGATCTCTTTGGACGCGTCAGGGTCTCCCCCGATCCTCTTGGAAACGCCGTGGTCATCGCCAACCTTTTCCAGGATCTTCAGCTCTTCACGTCCCTTCTTAGAGACAGCGGGACCTTCGCAGGACTTCTTGGAGATGTTGGGGTCAGCACCGAGGCTGGGATCTTTGCCAGGCTTCCTGGAGACATCAGGCTCTCCACAACCCGCCCTGCAGGTGTTTGGTTGCTCACCCACCTCCTTGAGAGCGTTGGTGCCTTCGTTGACCTTCTTGGAAGCACCAGGATCTTGGTCAGCCTTCTTGGAGACGTCAGGATCTTTGCCGATGTGCTTGGGGCCATCAGGGTCTTGGCCACCATCGCTGTAGACTTTGGGATCCTCTTGGATATCCCTGGGGACCTTAGCACCACCTTGCACCTCCCCGGAGGCCTTAAATCCACCCTGGCCATCCCCAGGGACCTTGGCACCGCTGCAGACGTCCAGGGAGGTCTTCAGATCCTCTTGGTCATTCCAAGAGTTGTCAGGACTAGGCTGGACGTCCCCAAAGACTCCAGTCGGCTTCTGGCAGTTGCCCTCAAAGCTCTTGGAGCCACCCTGGATGTTGGAGCTCTCAAGACCCTCTTGGCCGTCCCCAAAGCTCTCAGGACCCTCCTGGATGTTCCTGGAGCTTCTGGGACCCTCTTGGACATCGCTAGAGCTCATCGGTTTCTCCTGGTCGTTGCCGGAGCTTGCAGGAGCCTCCAGGACATCCGTGGAGGCTTTGGAACCATCTTGGAGATCGCT